TTTATTAATATGAGGAAGGGATTAGCAGGCTGATCTGAGGATGACCTTGGAAACCAGCGGTACAGAAGAGGAATGGATGGATAAAGCAGGCTTGGCCTTGGCAAAACTCCCTAAGCTTGTATTCGTGTCAAAGTCTTCGTTAGCAAATGAGCCAGTGCACAAGCCATGCCGAACTCGCTCAGTGTCGTTATGGTGGGATGTACAGGCAAGGACACGCAAAATTATTGGGAAATGAAAAACACTCTTCGGCACCCCTCACAGTCCTTGTCGCCTAGGCACAGGCAAGACCTCATTGGCATGCCGTGTGAGCATAAAGCCTCAGGAGAGCAGCAGTTGCATGGATAAGAAGACGTCCGCCACCATGTAATTGGCTTTGCCGTGCTTTGCCGTGCTTTGCCGCAGGAGACCCCAAATGAAGTGCAGGAAGAACCCACGCTGTCTTCAAGGTGAGTTTGTCTCCCCGTCCCTACAGCACAAGCTCTGCACAAGCATCCAAAAAGCAGGTGCCACAGGGCAGTTGTTTCGGAGGATGCCACAGTGTTGCAGGTAGACCTATGGGAGGCAAGGCTTGATCTGGAAATCATTTGCTGGCTGCTTATGAATGCACTCGGATTTGAGGCGCCCATTTGGGAGCTGGCACTGGATGCAGAGTGTCATGGCATGAATGACGCTGGCAGAGGCTATGACAAGCCTCATACTGCTTTTCAACACGGATTGTCGGAAGATATTTGATTTGGGGGCGTTGATGGGCGTTGCACGCTTCATTTTGCAGAACTGTTTTTCTGTCTTAGAGCACACAACGCTGACTGCTTTGAGGTCACACTTCGCCAATAGCCGCGATGGTGTGGTCTTTGTGTTGGACTGTACTAGGCACGTTGCATTTTCCTTTAGGCCTTAGTATGCGATGAAGCCCACTTCTCAGCGCATGCAGAGAAGCAGGCGGGAGACCGTCGACGAGGTGTTGCTTCATTGGCTCCATGTGGCACGTTACCACTGCGGGCATGAGGCGCTTCCTTTTAAAAAAGCTTGACTGCACTTTTGGCCTTGCACGTGATTGCTCCCAGGCTCCTTTTCTCTTTGTTGGCACAAAGAAGGACCTCGTGCCCCAGGTGCCAGCAGGATTAGCTCAATCTTGCTTTACTTTGAGCGCATTTGACTTGGCTAGGAAGAGGCGTCAGCGCTCCGAACTCGCCTGGAGCAGCTCCACTTGCCAGCGCTTATAGGCAGATGCACTGCAAGACCCTTTTTCTTGTTTGCCCGAACCTTGGCAGGCAGCTGTCTTGACCCCAACTTTCCAGGTTCTGCTCTGAAAGAGTTGTCGCCTGGATTGTTGCTAGTTCTTGCGCGTGATGTCTTTTGTGCAGTCTCTCGGGCGTTCTTCGCCTCAACGTTGTCATGTTTCAAGGTTGCGGCTTCGACGGCACGGCCATGCTAGCCGCTCAGCTCCTCTTCTGGCGCCGCTTCCGCTGCTGGCCTGGGCACCTATGCGCCTTGATGCGCCTTGCTGCTGAGCATTTGTTTTCGGGTAAATTCATGGCGGCCAGGCTACAAGTGTTCGACGTCAGGGCCGCGGCAACGACTTGCAGGCTTCAAAGCAGATGAACAGTAAACTACATAAACTCATCAGCACACAAGTGATGCAATGGTTTGAGGAGATTGCAAGCACAGGCATGCATCGCAATTCCATCTGTATGTGTAGCAGCTGCGGCAGGTGCTTCCCGCTCTGCAACAAGCAGCTTGCAGTGACATCACACCACCTCGCGCACCTTCGGAGCCGAAATCTGCTCGTGAGTCCTGGCAGATTTCACCAGGCCCTCTGCCGCATCTGCGGCTGCCTGTGGCTCACGATGCCCTGTGCAGTTGTTTCTCGAATGTGCCAGGCGAGTTGAGTATCTCAAGTCGGATAGACGCTGCAGATCGAGGAGCTTGGCAGGGCGGAGGCGATGGGAATCCGATGCAGAGCTTGCCATGTTCTGTCTCGTGCTGCCGTGCCAAGGACGCAGTCCCTCCTTCTTCGCCCATTGGGCAAATATGCCCGTTGTTGCAAAGCAGGTTGAGCCTTCATGGCAACTCATTGATCACAGCGATTGTTGCAAGGTTTTGTAGTCCAAGCAGCGTGCACGCAGAACCAATGTCTGCACATTTGTGTACGTATTTGTATCTATGCATGCTTATGCTAACAAGGAGCGATCACTGCTCTTGAAGCGCTGCTGTGCCGGCAAGTCCAACAAAGAGGAATCGCCAGTATTCGACAGCATGTGCTGCCTGGGCACCGGGCACGCAATTCTGAGTGTAGTTGGTGCAGGAGCAACTGCGGCGCTTGCTGAGGGAGCTCTCACAAGCCGAGTGCCTGCTTCCAAGAATTTCCAAGAGCTGTTAGCCACTCTTCGTGCGAAATGAAGCTTCTGGTCCCAGCCTGGCTCAATCGCAGCTCTTTGAGGCCCCTACCTGGCCAAGTTTTACGGTGCCTGTTGGGACGCTGAGCCAGTGTACCTGGTGATGGAGTACATGTCTGGTGGCGACCTGGAAAGATACTTGAGGCCCAGAAGCAAGATCCTGGGCTTGCCGAAGTGCATCTCAAATCCTGGAAGATGCCAGGAGCAAACGGCAGGAGCTGCATCGACCTTGGGCACCACCGAGGTGCACCCTGTTCTCAAAAGCAAGCAGCGTTAACGCAAGTTGAAGCAACGTTTTCTGCACCCAGACTGCCGCACGTCGTTCAAGCTCCATTGTTTATTTTGTTTCTTGAAAGGTCATTGCTGCTTAGCTGGGCAACAAGTGCTGCTGGTGCAGTAGCCTTCCTTGCCGGGCTCTCTCCTCCGATTGCGCACGGGAATTTGAGACCGTCAAACCTTCTGCTGTGTCACTCAGCTACATTTGTTGGCTGCCGTCAGCACTTGAGCTGTGTGTGTGTGTGTGTGTGTGTGTGTGTGTACTGGCGACTCATTCGAAGGTACAAGCCTGGCTTTGCGCCTGAGCCCATCGGGACCGATCGCGCTTTTGGCATCTTGATGTAATTTGTTTTAGCGCATGTTGCTCTGCCAGGAGCCCTTGCACCGATTGAGCACAGGCACCAGGCCTGCAAACTGGCGGTGCGCGACGGCTGGCACTATCTCGAATGCCTGTACGTGTGCAGGCAGAGGTTGGTGCTCCCAGTTTGGAGAGCTGCCTGTATTCTGCGCCTGAGGCACGTGCGCGAGTGGGCTTTGTAACTTTCACTTATTTGAATTCATACATGCAGGTCTTGGCAGGCGAGCCCTGCGATGAGGCTCGGGCCGAGCATGATGCCCTCCTCGAAATGGTACCGGGTAAGAGGGGGGTACTCTGGGTACCACCTATTTCAAACTTGCCACTTTACATCTTTACATAGTGGGGGGGGGGGGCAACATGAAATAGACACCGTGGATAGAACACATGAAAAAGGTACCAGGGATAGAATGCAAGCAAGATGAGTAAGAGTTATTAAGCAGTTGCTGGGTATTTGCTGATGTTTGCTGATGTGGCCTGAGGCGGCTGTGGTATGCTGTATCGCCTCAAATGAGTTTATTAATGGCTCTCAATCAAAGTGTTAAATGGCTGCGGAGGGGACTACGCCCCTGTGGCCATTATTACTAGGCACTAGTATCTTGACCGTATGACTAGAAGAAAAATTGGCAGGAGAGAGGCTTCAGGGCAGGCGAGAGCCTGCATGGCCCGTTATGATACCCTTCAAGAAAAATCCTGTCCATTTTCTGGGTCGTCCACGAGATGGGATGCTTTCCACGGTTTTTTTAAAGGGTGTAATTGAAGCTGAACCATGCGAAGGTCTTGCAGTAGAAAAATATTTGTTTAGGTTTAGGATTCTAGAGCGTAGGGTTTAAGGTTCCGGGGTCAGGGTTTGTGATTACAGGGTGTAGGATTTAGGATTTTAGTTTTTGGTATTGGGGACTCAAAGCCCTAGAGTGCTAAACCCTGAGCCCTAGAATCCTAAACCCTAAGCCCTAGATCCCGCAAACCCTAGAATCCTAAACCTTAAACACCAGAATCCTATCCCCTAACCCTACAATCCTAAGCACTAACTCCAAGAATCCTACACCACCAAGGGGGGGTGCCCCCAGCATTATGATGCCCCGGTGCTGGGAGGAGTTTGAATGATTTAGATTCTGGGGCTTCAGTTGTAGGATCCTAGAGCTACAGCAAATTCCAGCCTTTAGGGTTCAGCATTTAGTTTGTCGGCCTTATTGTTTAGGATTCTAGGGCTTACGACTTACGATTTAGGATTCTAGGGTCCAGGGTTTGGGGATTTTAGGGTTTCAAGTTTAGGATTCCAGTGTTGTGGGATTCTTTCTAGGATTCTAGGGTTAGGGCTTAGGATATTAGAGTTTAGAGCCCCCAAAATCCTGAGCCTTAAGCCCTTGAATCCTAAACCCTAAAAAATTGAATCCTAAATTTCAGGGTCCCGTGCCCATGCTAAGATCATCCTGTGTTACTCCAGTTCCTGGGGGGGGTGCCCCCAGCATTGTGTTCCGCCGGTGCCCGGGGGGAGAGTGAATGGTTTAAGGCTCTAGGATCCCAGGAGTTAAAGTTTAGGATTCTAGAGTTAGGGTGTAGGATTCTAGCGTTTGGGGCTTAAGTTTTTGTTGTAGGGGAGGTTTGGGATTCTGCGGTTTAGGTTCGAGGGTTTAGAGGGTCGCATTCTAGGGTTGAAGGTTTAGGGTTCTAGGGTTTAGGGTTTAGGGCTTTAGGGTTTAGGGTTCCAGCTTTTCAGAGGTTTTGGAGTCTAGGGTTTAGGATTCGGGATTCTAGGGTCTAGGGTTAAGGTTTAGGATTCAAGGGTTGAGGGTTGAGGATATTAGAAGCCACGCGCGCTCATTCAAGTAGTTTGTGTAGCTAGCAGGCTGTTCATGGCCAGACCATAAGAGGGTACTGAAAAACAGCCCGAGGGAGGAGGCATCCAGAGGCACTGAACAAGCAGGTTTCTGTACTACTCATATTATCTCTGCGAGCTTTGGCATGTGAAATCATGCGAACAAGTGTTGAGCTGCCTCGCAGCTGTTTTGGTTTATGCAGCAGGGCCAGCTTGTAGCAGGAGCTGGCGCAGGAGGACTGGGAACCTTGCTGGCTAGTGCAGCTTGGCAATTCCTGAACTCTGAGGTGCAAGTTCCTCCTGAGGTTCGTCTTCCGCCCCTTCCTTTGGACGGGCCTGCTCCTGACTTTTACTGCGGCTTGGCCATTGGAGTCCTGCTG